GTCTTGCTAAACGAGATGGTAAACGTGAAATTCCATCGTATGCTCGACGGGTTTAGGCTGAGTTCTCTGGCTCTTCTTCCTTTGGACTCCTGCCAGGGGTAGGAGACTGTTGAGCCGATCTGCCTAGTCTGGTCGCGCTCCGATGGAGGCACAGAAACCTTAATGTTTAGCAGATACCGTTTCTGGGAACTTCCATTCCCATAAAGCGCTTTTAAATTTATTTCTTTTGCTTCCCTGTAATTTAGGACATCTGTAGGTATTACAGATCGGATGTTAACAGAAATGTTCTCATGGTGATTATTCATTTTTATCTTGGTATGTTTTCATGTTTAATCTGCAGACCCCTTGTTAAGCAGATTATCATAACAGAAAATGGCGCGACTTTGTGTTTCATAATCAAAAGAAGTTAATTCCCTGCCACAGACTGACTGCAGTCTCAGGAGTGGTGTCTTTGGGTGCTGAACCCTCGAGTCTGGATAGAGTCACATCACTGAAGTAAACTGGAAATCGCTGAGCTAATCATTGAGGTCCCTGTAAAACTGGTTATGCTGGGGAACCATGGCGTGGGAAACGGCGGAGATCACAGATATTGGACTGGATCCTCCATGGGTCAATCCTGATCGATGCTGCCTGCATGTGTGCAGTTGGTTCTTGGTCAGTAGGCGCTGACTTGGGGGGCAGATAACGCTGTAGAAGATGGCTGTGAGTTGTGTAATCGTAGAGACTGGATTTAGGAAACATGTGGCAAACAGCCCTGGTGCAAGGCTCTCCTTCCATTAAAAATCTCGGCCTCTAATTAAGAGAGATCAGCTCTTCTCTGAGATACTGGGTTTCAAGAAACCACTGCCGGCTTTCGGTAATACCCACTCTGTGTCGTTGTCCAACCCCGTACTTGTCGAGGTCTCCCTGTGCCTGAGGCTGAGGTGCTTTGGCAGGGCCTGCCCGTGGCGAGAATTGCACACCTTCCCGTCTGAAGCTTGAGATGTGTCCAGAGCATTTACCGGAATGCTTCCCTAAAAAAATAAAAATAAAAAAAAGCAAGACGTTTTCCGCTGTGTGACGCGTGGTGTTTTTCATTGCGCTCTCTTCACGAACAGATAGTCTATGCGGAGCGGCCTCTAACCGACAACAACAGATCTTTGGCCTCCTATGGCTTGAAAGACGGGGACGTGGTGATTTTGCGACAGAAAGAGACCGTAGAGCCGCGGCCCTCCATCCGTTTCCCAGGTGAGAAAGGATTTGTGCTAACTTTTGAGGGTGCAAAGATCTCACTGTTTATCAAACATCAACTCCGTCTCTTGTCCATCTCCTTTAGTGCCTTGCTAGGCAAAACACTTAGGAAGGGAGGGTGGCTAGGGATGAGGCAGGGGGCTCTTAAAATTAGCTAAGGGGCTTGTTATTTAATTATTTATTTTTTTTTTTTAATTCCAAGGAAGCGAATATGATTTTACTGTTCTTTTGGGGAAATAACAGGGAAAGCGAGGAAGGTAACTGGTTCAGAACAACAGTTTTTGTAAAGGCGTGTGAATTTTCATACGACCACTGGTTCCCTTTCCTGCTTGGCGTCATAGTGCAATAATATGCGGTCTGTGTGGCGCAGACACGTTAACAGGCTGTTGTGATGTGTGCTCTGAATCTGTACTGTGACAGGGAAGCCGCATCTTAACAAACCCTGTCGTACAGTTGCGTGAAATGCTCCTCAGATAATGTCTGAGTAGAGCCCTGCTCCTCCGTCCTGCCTTCTGTAGCGATTCCAAGCAAATCCCCGTCACAAAATGTCACTGGAAAGGCAGGTACCATTGGCTGAGAAGGGCGTGGGAGCATTGCTTGAGGTCCTCGTCCTCCTGGTACCTGCAGTTGGTACCTGCAATGCAGGTCTGCAGAGATGTTGTGGGTTGGTTTTTTTTCCCCTCCCCCGCCCCCCCTGCTTTTTTTTTTTTTTTTTTTTTTTTAATCCAAGAGATTCAGAAGTGCCTTAGAGACACCGGGTTTAGCCTTGCCATCTCTCCGTGTGGTATTTGCATTTGTGAAGCTGGAAATAACCAGTGTGCGATTCAGTAAGTGCATTTCAGGGGATAAAAAATGGGCCAGAGGGAAGGGTAGACCAGTTACATAAATACGTGCTAGCATTCCTAACCCAGTAACCTGAGGACGTGGCCATGCTTCCGACACAAATTGCTGTTTGCAGAATCCGGTCTAATGCTGTAGCATTAAGAGCGGCTCATCCTTCCCACGATTTTTCCACTGTTTTTCAAGCCGAATTGTAAACGTGAAGCTCTGACTCCTTTTTCCTGAAGGTCTGCCAAGGATAGACTTCAGCAGCATCGCGGTTCCTGGGACGTCCAGTCAGCAGCATCAGCCACCAGCACAGCGTCTTCGCCCGTCACCTCCTGATGCACCTTCATTCCCTCAGGGTTTGGACAATCCGGCGCTGCTACGGGAGATGTTGCTTGCGAATCCCCACGAGCTCTCCCTGCTGAAGGAGCGCAATCCGCCCTTGGCGGAAGCGTTGCTCAGTGGAGACCTCGGTAAGTTGGGTTTTTAATCTGCAGGAGGTGGTTTTAAATCTGTTTGAGTTCAGTTCTAATAAAAGGCAGCTGCAGGTTTTTTAACTAGCCGGGATGTTCGCTGCTAACTCATTGATGGTGCTGATAAAAGGTGCCGGTTGGGAGTACTCGGGGCAGAGTTCTTCTCCTTCTAACAAGACTGTTTCTAGCAAGTTAAGCGTATTTCTCCTGCTTGGCTTTTTTAATATCCTCTATCCCCTACTTTGAAGTAACAGATGCACAGATAGGTCGAGTTTCTGTGAAGACAAGTGGCTCAGCTCCCAATTATGCTAAGACTCCAAATGCACGTTTTCCAGTAATGGTGTTGCATTTGCTGCATCCCAGAGCCCACTGAGACCTCAGCAGAGAGCTGTACGCTATAAAACCAACTCTGTCCGTAACGATTAGCTGCTGTGGAAGCGGTCGTCAGAGAGGGAGAGGGAAAGGAACAAGCAAATAGCGTCTTTAGGGAGCTTTTTCAATAGGAATAGTCATAAATGTTTAACTATCTGTTAATCTTGAAAGCGTTGATGTATTTTGGGCACAGTTGAAGCCTAGTACTGTGTCTTTCGCTTCCTCTGCAGGTGAGTAGCTGGTGTTGGTCCCTCGTTCTTCACATGATGAAAGCTTTGAACTCTAGTGTCCTTTCAGTGTGAAAAGGGAGTGGTGTTTCGGGCATCGGAAGATGTGCTTCTAAACCTCTGTGAGATGGTTAGTTAGGAGCTAAATCCTGTTGAGTTTGGGGAAATGAATGAAGAGAAGGAGCTTTAGCAGGAGACTTTTTTTTCCACTTTCAAGGTTCCATCCTAGCGATTTTTCTCCGTCAAAGGAAGCTAGAAGGGAACTTGCATGGATATTGTCAGGCTATTTAATTTTTTAATTCTGACTTGAGTTCATATCCAACATCAAACCCATGTCCTTTGTGCTCTCAAGCTTCCTCACACTTCTTGCAAGCGCTGCGTCCATAGCGCTGCAGTTTTTTCCCATCACCTTGAGAAGATGTGCTGCTCTCTGCACAGAGAACGAGAGGTTAGGCTGAAGACACTCAGAACAGGCTTATCTGCTGATCTGTGTTGTTGTTCACATTAAACTTAGAATCAGATGTGCATTTTTAGTCCCAAATCACCGCAGTGGGCTGTCAGAAGGAAGCGGTTTGAGCTGGTTATGCTCTCATCGTTCTGTACTGCTACTACCGTTATTTGGGCACAGATCCAGTTCAGCTCTGGCTCTGATGCCCAAATATACACATGGATTGATGCCACGTGACTGTGCTGGATGCACTGCAAGCGCTCTAGAAGGCACCTGCTATACAGAAGCCTAATCTAAAGAAAAAAAAAAAAAACAAACAAGAAAACATACCCAGTGCCTTCCTGAACATGTAACAGCCTTTGAGCCAGAGAGCTGCTTCATGGGAACTGCATTTCTGGAAGCAAACCCACAACCTTCTGTGTTTACAGAACTTACTTTATTGCCAAGTCCTTTTGGGAACGTATGCGATCACATCCAAGTAGTAAAAAATAACCAGAGGCCATCCAAAATGTGGGGATCTAAAATTGGTGTCCTTAAAACGTGCAACTAGACTTTGTGAAGCAGATGTCCCGCCTAGGACCTCTTGATTTCAGCAGTGGGCATTCAGCTTTAGGATTGCAGTGTCTCTGTCTGTGCCTATGTTGCTTTGGTTTAAAGTAAGTTTTGTTGTTAGCCTTTTTATGTCTTACAGTTTTGCCTTTGCTCTGCTGGATCTACAGGCTGTTATTTTACTGGGGATTGCTGTGTGTAAAACATGATAGATTTTTGCAAGCTGTTCTTGTGGATCTTACTGAGAGCTATGAAATCTCACTTCTGTCTCTCCCTGAAGCTTCTTCAAAATACACGTGCGCTCAAGCTTCTCATTTGAATTGTGCTTGTTCTGTAATCCCGATTTCGGCTTTGGGTCTCATTTGTCTGCTGCTTTTGCAGCTGGGTTTTCTTTTTTTTTTTTTTTTGAGTATTGTGTAGGCAATTCTTGCTGCTACAGAAGAATGAATTCCTGTTTTAATGGCAGCTCTCTGTTTTAAATACTGGTGTCTTCATGTTTTTTCCATTTTTCTTCCATATAAAAATGTACATGCAAAGAAATTGAGTTTGATTTTGCTGAGTTTGGGTGGCAGACACAAGGAGAAAGAGCTACGTCCAGCTGGCTTTCATCTCAGTGGGTTCCCAAGTTTGCCATAGAACCATAGAATGGTTTAGGTTGGAAAAGACCTTTAAGATCATCATTGCCACTGATCCTTTGAGGTCCATCCATGCTGCCTTCAGATGAAGCCTTTTTTGCTTGTGCTGCTGAGTCTACTCCTGAGTGCATGCTGGCATAAAAAGAAGAGTTTGCTGTGCCAGAACTTGGATTTGTAAGAGTAATTTCCAGTAAAAAACATTTCTCTATCTCCTTGTTACTACAGAGAAGTTCACCAGGGTGTTGCTGGAGCAACAGCAGGACCGAGCCCGGCGGGAGCAGGAGAGGATCCGACTCTACTCAGCTGACCCTTTTGATCTTGAGGCACAGGCCAAGATAGAAGAAGACATAAGGTAGCGAACCAAAGTCGCTGCGGGCTTTGGAGGTCTTCACGGCGCTTTTTTTCCACAGGGCGCTTGCATCCATCCGTGATGCTTTTTTCTTGGAGTATGCAAGGAGCGTGTTTAGATCCTGCCTTAAGATGCCTCTAGGGCAATGCTCTGAGCCACCTTTGCCTTTAGATGTATCCAGTTGAGCACAGATCATGAGGCGGCAGCACCACTGTCCATGCGTGTGATGTCCCAGAGCTGCCTAAGCTGGTCCCTTCTGAAACAAGAGCACTCGTGGGAAGCGCTTAGCCAAGATCCTCTTGAGAGGTGGCACTTGGGTGTCACAGGCGTGTTTTGAACTGGAGAGCTGGGCCTGTGTTAGTCACTGAGCTGAGCTCTCTGTGCAGCCATGTGGTGTCATTTCTCCTAGCTGCCTCTGAGATTTGGTTTTGTGTACTGCTGACTGTTTTGTCTCTCTGGCTAATTCCAGACTCTGAACATCACTGCTGTCAGATGTTCTGTAGAAATACATTCTGCTCACCAGCGCTTGCTCCCTCTTGCTGTCTTCCAAATGTAATTGCATTAGGCTGAGGCTAGATTTCTTAAATTGAGTGATAAATCCTTGAGTCAGAACATGACTGAGGGGTTTTTTTTCCCCAGTAAAGAAATGTCTTTGTGATACAGGCTCAGAGTTGGTCATAACCAAAATTAATTTGTGATGAGAGTCGTTCTTGCGTTATGGGTGACAAGGTGTTGGTGCTGGGTAAATGCTTAGCTTAGCAATGCAGAAAAATATACATTTGTAGATACCAAAATGTTGCTCGGAGGCATGGGAATTATTTCCTTCCTCCATAGATGAGGTGACAGATAAGGGTGATGTGCCCAAGGCTGTGCAGCTCTTAGGGAACAGTTTGGGCATCTAGCAGTCCCCAGATTTCACACCCCACTTAGTTTCTCTGAACCCCTTGCTTAATTAGATGCGCTCTGCCCAAGATTGATTGGAAGCTATTGCAAGCATCATATTTTTGGAGACACATCTCTGTCCTCCAAGTGGAGAGGGTGTCAAGCACAGAGAAAACAGAATTTGGCAAGAGAACAAACTGAAGATTAACCACTGCATATCCGATTTAAGCTTAAATAATAAAAGACAGGACAACGTGTGGCTCTTTGTTATGAAGCGGGACAGATGGCAGTAGGGTGCTTTAGGTCCCAAGCCAGCTAGGTCTCCTGTTTTCCTTCCCCACCAAGAAACCACGTCTACCCATCCTGTCATGGGAAGGCTACCACAGTACGGAAGATGGGTAAGAGAGGAGCTTGCAGTTTTTCCCCTTCCTCTACTTAGGAGGGAAAGTAAAATGGCATCAAAATGGGAAGCCCTTTTCCCTTTCTGGTAGATAAAGCTATTTTGGATGCAGTCGCTATGGATATCCCCTGCTTCTAAGATTACTGTAGGGGCCGTGATGGACTTCTTGAAGAGCATTTCTTCTGTAGGCTGGAATTTGCAGTGAGAGCTTGTGCTTGTGGTGGTGTTCTTGGTGTGTTTTTGCTCACCTCCCTCCTTTCCTGTGCCTGGAAAAGGAAAGATAGCAGGGAAACATTGGAGGATTTTAACGTTCAGCTGCTGTGTGGGATTCCAGCGTTGTAGCTACTGGCAACATCGTGTGCCCTCAGCGCTTTTATTTTAGAGTGACTAATAAATACGCAGGTTTTTCACTTACAAGTTCTCCAGGTTAACTCTGTGGTGACAGGTTTCTGTTGCAAACAAGAAGGTCGCCTGGTGCTGCCGTGTGGGTTAGGCAAGGTATTGGAAGGAGCAGTCTTCACGGCTGCTGGGAAGCAACTTGGTGTCTCTGGGTTAAGCCCAGATCATGACTGGCAATCCCTCTGCGAAGAAGGCTCTGTTTAGCTAATGAAGCATCTTGGTTGTGGTTTAAACATGCTGTTTGTAAGGTGAGCTGCAGTGGGTGGGATGACCAGATCTGTTTGTAAGTCAGAGGGATGCTTATAAGGTTCAGCTGACAGAAGGTCTGATTTTTCTCCATCTTTGCCATTAAATTCAGGCAACAAAACATTGAAGAAAATATGACGATAGCAATGGAAGAGGCCCCCGAGAGTTTTGGCCAGGTGGTGATGCTGTATATTAACTGCAAAGTCAACGGACATCCAGTGAAAGCCTTTGTTGACTCAGGTGAATCACCCCCATTTTCACCTCTTTTTCCACACTCTCCTTTCCCTCGCTGAGGGAGACTGTAAATGCTCCAGAAGTTTTGCCCCAAAATTCCATAATAAAGCGCTGCATTACAAGATCTTGAAGCACCTAATTAAAACCCAAGAGCAGCCTGGGCATTGTTTAAGGTGAACAGAGCAAAAAGCAGAGCACGCACGAGTGCTTGAATGCCCCAGATCAAGGCTCCTGTGAGAATTTCTGGGGCTGCGATGCCAGAAAGGTCGCTGCCACGTGTGTGTCTTATCTCATTTTACAGATGGGGGAATTTTGCGTGCCTTTAATGTTGTGCTTCCCGTCTATAGCCTTAAAGGGAAAGTACTTGGGATTATTCCAGCTCGACAGTAACACATCCTTTACTGTCAGTGCTGATCTGTGTGTACACAGTCAGTTCAGTGCAGTGGGATTCACAGGAAGCCTTTAATGCCCTAATGCAGTTGCTGATGCAGTGTGGTTTCCTGGCTGCCGAGTGCAAGATCTTAAGCCCTTCCAGGAGAGAATTTTAATTTGTGATGAGCTGTCAGGATTTAACACCAGTTTTCTTGCTGGTAGGTGCCCAGATGACCATCATGAGCCAAGCTTGTGCTGAAAGGTGCAACATAATGAGGCTGGTAGATCGGCGATGGGCCGGCATTGCTAAAGGTGTAGGGACGCAGAAAATAATTGGCAGAGTGCACTTAGGTAAGTACCGGCATTCTTCTCTGGGCAGCTTTAGGGGCAGTTTGACTGCATTTCCCACAGTCTTGGCACTGAGGAGTATCTGGTTTTAATGCTATAATTGTTAGAAACTCCCACAGAGTAAAATAGAAGCGCATCTGCAATATGTTCATTGGACTGGGGCACAGTGCTCTGGCTTCTGTCCCATTTAATGCCTTTTTTAATGGAATTACCTCGACACTTTTAGGTGAGGGAGTCTTTAGCTCAGAGGACGTGTTGACTCTGGGTGCCAAAAGCAGGGCTAATGTGAAATAGCAGGATCTTCCCTCTTTGGGGTGGGACTAGTGGGCAGTGTGAGTTGCTCAGGAGGGATTCCAGTACAGTGGAGTGTTTCATTTTCCTTTGGGAAGAGAAGGCTGTGTTCCTCTGTGGGCTTTCCAGAGGAGAGACGATTGTCCTTATTGCTGAAAAATCAATTCTCTTCACTGTTGTTGCTTTTCAGACTCGTGCTCTAACAAGCCGTACGCAGCTCCTCTAGCTCAGAGGGCTAGATAAGCAGTACTTAAGGCTCTAGAGCAGGTCAGCTTTTAAAATAATTAACTTCTTGAGACCAAGGCAGGCCTGGCAGTCCTGGGGCTTGCACAGGGCTGGACATTCTATGACCCAGACAGAGCTCTGGTTTCAGATTTACCCAGCACGTTTGTGCAGACCTTTCCCAGGAGATGGAAGAGCAGAAAGTAGATTTGCTGTTGCTGTACTGTTGCAAGGTGGTAATGTTTGTCCCTTGCGTTTCAGCTCAGGTCCAGATTGAAGGGGATTTCCTGGCATGCTCCTTCTCGATCCTTGAAGAGCAGCCCATGGACATGCTTCTAGGACTGGATATGCTGAAGCGGCATCAGGTATCTTTTGAAACGGTTACTGTCTCTTCCAAGTTAAGTGATAAGTGCAACATAAATGCCATGCCTGTGAATTTAGTAGGGTTTTTCTGGGGAAAGTTGATGGTGGATTATCTTCCAGACAGTTACGAAAGAAGTACATACACTACATACATCATGGATGGCTATAGGGTGTCTGGCTGCTCCTGGAAGTGTTTTGCTCTCATCAAAGATGCTCAGAGCTTTCCAACTGAATGATTTACTACAAATCAAGTCATATGGAGCCCTTTGTTTATGGCTGGTGCTCTTGGCCCACTTTGCTGCTATGAGCTGTTCCCATTGGAAATGTATTGTTTAACCTTGTCTCTCCTCCTTCTCCGGGAATTGGCTGGCTCTTACACAGGCCCCTGATCTCTCGATGCTCTTTCACAGTGTTCAATTGATCTCAAGAAGAATGTACTAGTGATCGGCACGACTGGCTCGCAGACCACATTCCTCCCGGAAGGCGAGCTCCCAGAGTGTGCCCGGCTGGCTTATGGGGCTGGGAGGGAAGACATGCGGCCGGAGGAGATTGCAGACCAGGAACTAGCAGAAGCAATACAGAAGTCCGTAGAGGAAGCAGGTACCAGGATGAGCCCAGTTGAAATACTGATCGGCATAGTTTTCTTGCTGTGCGTCAGGATGTCTGTCAGCCCCTTCTCAGCTCCCAGTCTCATCCAGCATCAGCGAGTAAATGCTGGAGGGAAAGGGGCTTTATTCTTGCTTGTGGCCTCTAACTGCACTTCTCTCTTCCTTTCTGTACAGTAAAATGTGTCTGCATGAAGGCATTTGGGGGTGCTTGCTGTTTAATTTGTGCTCTCGTTGCAAATTCCTACCCGCTCTGGTTTCTTGGCCTTCAAAGTTGTGGAGATAACTGGTTGTCTCTTGCACCCACTTGCCTGGGTGGAGGGGTAGTGCCTAAGTCAGAGATGTGGTTCAGTTGTGTGGTATTTTAGGAACCTCATGTGTGGACAGCTTTGTGGAGTCTTCTGCAAATCCTGTTCTTAATAGCCACAGCATATAAAAACAGAGGAGCTGTAGCAGTAAATACAAATCTCTGGGCATGACAGTTTTTCATGATAATTTTTAGAAATAGTACTACTTCAGCATTTTTTTTTTCCTTAGAATGGTGCATGTGCCCTTGGAGGGTGAATTGCTTCTCTTACTGAAGATTACTGTTGCTCTAAATTTCAAAAGAAGCAGCTGAATTCACATGCTAATGTGTATCATCAGTCTCATGTGATCTGCAAAGAGAATTTTCACCCTCCCCATAGGTTTGTTCCCTGTGCCTCTGGAATCTGTGAGCTGCACAAGTGCAGACTGACTGGGCTATGGAAGATACTTGGTAGCTGCAAAATTTAGTGAAGCGGGGATGCCAAAATAGCTGAACACCTAGCTATGAGCCAAACTGTCTGAAACAGTGTTTCTGTTTAACTCCTCCCTTAACTTCAGTTTTTGACTAGAGGAAAGCTTCATTTTTTTTTTTCCCTGCTATCACAGTGAAACTGTGAATACCTTACAAAGTGTATTCCTTAGGCCTTTTCCAAAACTTTCAAAGATAACATTTTATATGCAAGTGTTTCATAGAGACTTTTGAGTTTTACTGCTAATTTTTCCTTGCAAACCACGCGGTAAGATTCTGCTTTCCACACATGTATAAAACTCTTTGCTGGGTCACGTTTAAGCTGATAAAGTTGATTTCTTCAACATTTTTATTGCTACCAGTTGTAATGCACTGATGTCGTCTTCAACACTTCCCAGTTGCTGCCTGATAGTCCAAAGAGTAAGCGATGACTTTCTTGCAAATAACTAATTTACATGCAGGGGAGCACAGGGCTGTGCTTACTGGTCCCTTTGACCAATTTTTTTTCCATTCTAAGAATATAAGTTTTCCAGAGATGTAAAAACCTTGAGAGGAAAGCCTGGCCTTAATGAATCGGCAAGAAATGGTTTACACATTTGACTTTGAAAGCCAGATTTGAATGCTTATTAACTTAAGTTGCAGCAAGTAGAGAGAAACACAAAAATAGATTTGACCTTGCCCCGCCAGATTTTGACATAGCTAAAAGTCGGGCTTGGTACCTAGGGCTCATGTGTCTTCACATAACCTGGCAGAGGAAATGTGCAGATGTAAATATTGGTTCTTTTCCTGTTAAAACTTTGAGCCTGATGAAGCCTGGCATGGTTTTGCAATCTCTTTCTATTTTGGATGAGACTTTGCAGACATCATGGTTGGTTGGACTTAGTTCTCTGCTGAAAGGGTCAAATAAAAAGCAAACCTTGGCTCAAAATATGAGTCTAAATCCTCAAAAGGATTTTAGTCAAATGCTTTAAAATGAAAAGTGACAAAAATTACTTAAATCAAAGCTGCTTATGTACCGATACAGTTCTAAAGACCACGTGGCTTTGTTCAGACTAATCAGCAGTCTGCCGTTTTCCATTGATGCTGAGCCCTAGAGGAATGTCAAAGATTTGTGAGAATAAGAGATCCATTTTGTGTGTGCACTTAATTCTTGTAGAACACCCATGCACAGAACTGAGGTAGGTCTTGTTTAGGTTGTGTGTACATCTTAGACATATGACAAGCCTCTGGCTCACAGGCTATATCCTAAGATGTCAGAATATTAATGTATACCCTCTTCCTCTCTTCCAAAATTATTAGCTGCTGCTAGGTGGTACCAGGAAAATCAAGTGAAAGAACAGGAAACTGAAGAGGGAAAGAACATAATGCAGGACCGAGGAAGCTCAGCTCTCCGCAAGGCCTGTGTTCTTTCATGACAGCTCGAATTTGTGCTGCCTTCTGGTAGATGGTACAACAGAAATCACTGCGTACGTCTGTAGGCTATTAAAGTTCTCATTTTGAGTTCACCTGGATTATTCTTGAGCTTTATTTGATCCCCTGAAGCCCACTTTTAGCAAGCCTCATGGTTTCTGTCAGCTGACTTGCTGGAGCCCTGGTGTGTTTTGCTGTGGTCTAGATTCTCCACATCCGCTTCATTTACGTCTGCGAGCCTGCTCTTCCCTGCCAGTATGCAGTGTTTTCCCTACTACCACCACTGATAACAATTCTGTGATTGCGGAGGATTTGCAAAACGGGCAGCAGAGCTACAGTTGCTTTAGGAGGAAGAATATTCAGGTGGCTTGCCCCGTATACAGCTTTTCATCCAGCCTTGATAGAGGAAAGGCACTGCCACCTCATATGCAACTCAGGCTTTTCCTAATATAGAGAGGAATTTATCCCTGATGGTGCGCTTTGTGGAGAATTTGTTCCCGGTGTTAGCTGGATCAATAACCTTGATGAGGCTGGGGTTCAGCTCCCGTAGATACCCTGGGAGGAGGATGATGCTGAGGAGCGCTTGGCAGAATACCAGCTATTTCTGCTGTATAAAAGACTGCAAATCCCTGATGCATTTCACTGATCAGGCCCTCATTACCAATCCACTGAGTCAAAAGACAGTTCTGCTTCCTCTCTAAAGGATTGGCTTGGGAGCAGAGAGTGTGAACGTAATTCTACTGTGTAGAAACAGAAAAAGATCCCTCCGGTTTTCATCAGTATCCTGTGTCACAAGCCTCTTTGCCACCCTTACGAAAGATGAACAGAGAAAATCTGCAGAATAATTCTGTTTTTTTAATTCTCCAGCGTTGCCAAGTTGCCATAGCTGCATTAAGACCAGATGTGCAGCCAACAGAAGGGATTGCCCTGTGCGACGGCTGTTGTATTTTATACCAAAATGTATTGATTGGAGGTGCGGTATCACAGCATATAGCGCACCATTTGTATTTAACAGAAAATAAAAGAAAAACAAGTAGCTGAGGTGAAGAAGGCAGATTTCTTCCATGGTGTGGAAGTTAAAGGAAATCCTGGCTGTACGTGTGAGCGTGGCCCCCAGTACACCTGGGTATCTGTAAAAAGAGAAAGACTTAAACATATACCACTGTTTTACCTTAAGACCATTGAGTTTGGAGGCCTTTGGAAAGGGAACTAATGCAACAAATCACACAGCACAAAATCGGGGTTGCTGTTTGGCTATCTGACACTGGGCAGAGTAGGGCTTTAATGGAGGAACAGGCGCTCTTACAGCAAAGGTCATGTTAGTGATTTAACAAGAGCATGAGAGCTGATATGTTAGCAAGATTAGACTATTGACAAGATAAGCTCACTTACTTAATCTGTCCTGATAACAAAGCCCAGTGTTCGGTGATACTAACAGAGATCTGCAATTCGTCCATTCTCCATGTGAAGAAGGAAGCAGTGAGCTGGGTTTGATTTTTGGCTGTCTCTTCCTTTGCTTCACTCTTCCCAGCCTTGGGCAGCAGTTCCTTTGGGGGATTTCTGCCTCTCACCCTAGGATCCTTACTCTTCCCTTTTACAGCAAGCTGATGTTTGCTCGCCTTCTCCTCCCTGTGATGCCACTAGCCATCGCAAGGCGATAGCTGCTGGGAGCACAGTCCAAGAATTGTGATGCCCTCTTAATTCTCATTTCCCTGAAACACGGCTCCTGAATATCTTCAGCTGTACAGTGAACAAGCCAGTATGGTGCTAGACACATGCCTTGTGCTGTGTGTATTTTATCAGGAGTGTAGTATCACCCACGGACCACTCTGAGGCGTAGATAGTACAGAACAGCCTTTAAATTGTTCTCCAGCAGTTATTTTTGACTTGATGTGACGAATTTCCCAGGCAGAACTCCTTCTGGAAGGCAGCAAACATGAGGAGCTCCAGCTGCTCCTGTGCTGTCTCGATGGACAGTTGGGAGGGGAGCTGCGAGGTTGCAGGACTGTAACCATGCATGTGGTGTGCTCTGAATGCTAACCCGAGTTTGGTGTGTTTGTTTCCTAATCCAAACAGAACGTCAGAAGCCTTGATGCATGTAGTGTGTGTTTACTGCAGCTGGAGTGGGCCACAGACCAGGTATTTATAGCCACCAGTTTATGAGTTTTCTCTACTGCAGTGAAAACAGTGGTTCTCCTGTGTCCTAACTACTTCTTTCTTTCTGTCTTCTGTTAGAGAACAGTGACAAAGAAACTACCTCACTGGAAATGCCCTCATTACCAGCTTCTGATGGGTTTCAAAATCCAGTCCAGTCTTCAGGACTAAATTCCAAGATCTGTAATCCCACAAATCAACTACTTGATCGTTCTGTCTCTGCCCCTGCTTCCATTTGCTCATCCGAATCTAGCCTCGCAGAGCCCATTGATCCTAGAGCCGTCAAGTCTTTTGAGTCTTCAACTGAATGCGAGATAACCCCAGAAAAAGAACATCCTCTCTTATTACAGCATCTTTCCAATAACGCTTCCTTGGCAAATAACGACCCTTCTCCCCAGAAAGGGGAGCTAACCTGTTGCAATCCAGCTTGCCTTTCACAGAAGACACTCAAAGAAACGTTTGTTGCTGACAGTCTAAAGGAACATAATGCTAAAGAACAAGACCGTGGTCAGGAACACCCTCTGGAAGTGACGAAAGAAAATAGTTCGGCTGACGCTGCTGCTAAGCAAAATAGAGAGGTATGTCTGTTTTCAGAACAGGAGCAAAAGCACAAGCTTCCCATAGACCATCAGACGTGCAAAGAACCAGAGAAGGAACATCTGGAGGAGCAAACTGAGACAAGTGACCCAGAACCTCCTTGCCACGTTGGTGGGGTTGAGAAGCCTGTTGTGGAAGAAGCCAGCCAGCCAGAAAATCTTCCTATGGAAATGAAAGGAGACAGACAGGAGAAAGCAGGTCTTCCCTGTGCAAAAGGGAGTATCCGGGTGTCAGCCTCCTGTAGCTGTACGCATACAGAATCCTTCATGGAAGTAGATGCAGTTGAGCAGTCTGTAGCTGAAGCACACAGCTCGGCAAGTGAGCAGAAGCAGCAGGCTGAGAACAGAAGTGTATCTGACCTGAACTCGGACGCCTTTTCTATGGAGGTGGAGTCGCTGAGGTCTGCATCCTCCTTGAGTGATCTCCTTTCCACTGGTGATGTCCCGCAGTCTAAAAGTGCTAGTGAGATTCCTGCAAAACATAATGAGTTGTCTGATTGGGCAGCTGAAGACAGCTCTTCCTCCTCCAGCATCCATCAGCTGGATGTGGACCCAGGAAGACCTTCAGAAGAGCCATGTTTCTCTCTAGCATCAGCCTTGAAAGAGCTGCACAAACTCTTGATTATCAGTCGGAAAGGAGAATGTAAGGCACTTTCTGAAGATGAGCGGAAAGGCTCGGATCCCGCCAGCCAGGAACAGAGTTGTTCCTTCTATAAGGTGAGGTCTGAAGGTGGAAGAGCAGAGGAGAAACAGCCTTGTGATTCTGGCACAGAAAACATCAGCGTTGGGTCTGTCAGTCACATGCAGTCAGCTCTTGGAGAAGGTGCTTTAGAGATTCAGAAGTTTTCAGGTAAGAGTGATTCGGTCATGGCAAGTTCTGCAGCAACCTCTGAGCAGGCGGAGGTTTTGGCAGTAGGTTATCAGAGTCCAACTAGTCCAACTTTGGAGCAAAACACATCCGTTTCCTCTACACCTGCTTTGGATGAAAGTGCACCTCAAGATACTCAGAGCCTGTTCACAGGAGCACCTGGGAGCAGCAGCAGTTCTGCTCCTGAAGGTCTGTGGCCGTTGGGTGGGTCTGAGGAATCACTGCTGAGCCCACCAGCTGGCTCTGCTGGACTCACCTCAGGTGCTTCTCCACCATCTGCTTTCCCTGCAGCTGATGTTGATCGGATCCTCGGTGCTGGTTTTACCATGCGGGAAGCTCTTGAGGCTTTGGAACGAGCAGATGGAAACGCAGATCTCGCTCTTCTCATTTTGCTAGCCAAGAGTATCGTTGTTCCTACATAACTACGGAAGAGGTAGCTGACTGGGGTGTCCTTTTTCTTTTAAAGGACCTATCTAAATTGTACACCATCATGTACAAGCAGAATGTTGAGCCAGATTTTGTAATTAGTTGCAGCCAAAGTAACTTGTCTCTTCTGTTTCACTTGTTAGATTTGGCCTTTTAAAGGAAAGAAAACATCCTAGCCTTGTGTGGACAGGATAGCTTTTAATTATGCATACTGGATTAAAATTAATGTTTTTATTTAAATGTACAATTTTAGAATAAGCTCCAATGTTACGAATAAAAAGCAGAAGCCATTAAGATCACCGCCCTGTCCAGCGCAAAGGAGATTGTGAAGTGAGTTGACCGTGCACAGGACAGGAGGTACACGCCGAGTTCGGTATGGCACAGACGCGAAACAGCGCTTGTCCAGAAGGACTTTGCAGATTTTTTTTTTAGCTCTCCTATGCTTTGTAATCCAAGGTCCATCTGTGACGCTGATGAAACTATTGTGGCAGCTACTAAAGGTATGTAGGTGCCCACAGGCGTGTAATGCTTTGCAAAAGGAGTGAGGGGTGGAGAGGGTGTTCGGAAGTGTGCGCTTTTTGTTTGTGCATGGGGAAGGCTGATGCCTGTTTTTGCCAAACCCTTTTATGCTCTTGGGCCAGTGTGTTCAAGTTTACAACGTGGGGATAGAAGAAGGGAAGAGAGAGAATTTGGTGCTACCAAAACTTAAGAGACGTTTTAACTTATTTGAAGTTGTGCTGGTATTAATTGGGGGTGGGGAAGGGAAAAGGAGTATTTTACTTTTTTTTTTTTTCCTAGCCTTGCCCACACCATGTTTCCCCCATACAAAAGAACAAGCTCAACCACTTTAAGGCAAAACCTTAACACTGAAATTGTTTTAACAAACCAACCATGTATTGTGGCTCTTAACTCCCCTCTGCCCCTGGAAGAATGAACTGTTTCAGTGGATGCATTCTTTATGCACCGAGTAAATCAGAAGAATGAAGAAACGTGCTCCGCACTAGTTTATCACGATGTTTGGGGATGATCAGCCTCTCAGCTGTGGAAATGCAAACTGCGGACAGCCTGGAGTGGCTGGTGGGGTACTAATTTAATACCTCTTAAAGCTTGAGGGCTACCCAGTAGGGTGTACAAGACAAATGCCCTGACGTGGCTTCTGCGTTATAACCATCGTGGCCTTCTGGGAAGTCCCTGGTGAGCAGCCTGAATGATGAGGACTCACAAGGCTGTGCTGTAGGAAGCCCTTTCCAGATGCTTTTTTTGGGGATGAATTACTTCGTGATGCTCTGCGAAGACCCAAAACAACTGCTGGGGCTGGGGAAGGGGAAGGAAAGCGTGGCTGAAACACGATACCAAATTTTAAGTAGGAACTTAGTCCCACTTGCAAATCTCAGAAGTGGCTTTGTGTCAAGTGTTCGTCTTGAACTTTCTGCTTTGAGCTAAACCTGGAGTGATGGGTCAGCAGCAGCTGGAAACGTGGTTTTGTTCATGGCTTTCATTTGTTGTTATTGTCTCAGGCCTGTGTTACTGGTGTTTTGTTTTCCCTGTTGCTTAGCAGATTTGCCTACGTGTATGCTAGGTTTTTTTCATGCAGGGTGGCATTTAAAAACACCACAAATTTGGTTTAATCTGTGAAATTGCAGGAGTTTCTGATGTCAGTGAGGGCTGGTTGTCGGATTTTTCTTAGCTGCTTGGGTAGCCAAGGACTCCTTTAGAATAATGAAGAGCTTTAAAGCGTTCCTCTTGTCTGTTGAATGGAGCCTCTGCATGAGCTGTGAATGTACCAGCCAGGCCTGGAGCTCCCAGGCACATTTAGCTTGCATCCTGCTTCCTGTGATGCCGGCAGCAGGCGTTGCTCTGTGCATAGGTAGGAAGCAGTGCTTGGCTGTTTGGGGACCCCTTGCCAGAGCAGCATCGAGTAATTCACTTGAGGCTCTGTTCAGAATGAGTTACTGAGGCAAGGCTTTATGATCTTTATCGTGCAAGTGGTCAGTTACCCTTGCTGAAGTTTTTTTAAAATATTCTCTGTACAACGGGCACCTCAAATCGGCGAAAGTCCCCTCTGTAAAGGGTAACACTTGGGCTGGTACAGGAGTGTGGTGTCATCAGCTCTCTCTCTAGAAGCCTTAGGAATTAAGATATTAGACCCGTTCCCATCGGCATCTGGTTCACTATCAAAAGCAGCAACAAGAATGAAGCTCCCAGCTCTTGGATCCAGAGCATCCTCAGTCCAAACAGCCGAACCTGCTCCCGATTCACACCATGGGTCTCGGTGAGGTGGTCCTGGGAGCAAGCCCCCATGTGGTATGCAGATCCCAGCTGCAGGTTGGCCCTCTTGGATGCACGAGAGCTGAATTGGCACCCTTAGCCTGCAGGTTCATCTGTGGCCAGCTTCTTGGATGTTAGCCATTCAACGTTATACCCCTTTCGTATTTACACTTTACGTTTTTAGAAGTGATTGCTAATAGCTAGATGAAGTACTGCTGCTTTGCACCAAACTGGTTAAAGGCTCTAGTTTTATGGCCACGTTTACTTAGACTGCATATACAGAATTTATGCTATAAAAGCTTTAGAGCATCAGCCAACTTGCTTCAATGCTCGGTTTTATTCTTTGTCAAATATAATTTTCGAAATCTGCCCTTCTGCCAAAGCTGTACTGAAACATTTATCAATAGTGCTAGAATTTCCTGGGTAACTTTCTTTGAACTGCTAGAAATAAAGCCTGACCCCCAACCAATGAATACTTGTAAAACTGTTTATCAAGTTGGTCCAAGCCTGGTGATTTAAATCTCTTAATTTCAGAGCCTTGCTTTGAGTGAATGGCTACGTGCTGCTAAACTAGAGAATAACTTTTTGGGGAGCAAGATTTTATGTTGGAGAAAATCTGGGCAGGGGTGAGCATTTAAGGTTAAAATAAAATGTAATAGAACATGTATGTAGTGAGTGCTGTCTAAAAGTTGTCTTCTGTTTGAACATGCATGTGTGTCCCCTCTTCTGTATGCACACATCCTTTGCTCAGCCTTTAGCAATCCCTTAACCGGCCTCTGTGCTTATCTGGCCCACAAAGGGGGAATACTTCTGTGTAAGCAGGGATGGCAGACTGCTACAGCTTGTTGGCTAGAGCAGGGGATACGGTTAACGCCAGAAGCTGTTTGGATTTCCAAAGAGCCATGTACCCTGGCTGAAAATAAGGCTCTTCGCTCTTCCTCCTTCTCATTCATCGGTGCTCCAGCGTACTAATGCCGCATCAGCTTACCAAAATTATTTCAGTATGACAAGTCCATCTATAGAGAATAAAGCAACACTCGGAAGCTGCTTCATAAAGATGCCAGCGCCTGTGGAGACCCTTGGGGGTCCGTAGAGCTTATTTCTGGGTGTTTCCTGAAGCCACTGTGGTCACATACCTTGCTGTTGGTTTCTGAGATGTATTCTTCTCCTTAAAGATACTGAAGGAATTTACTCGGCCTCTTGCTGGACGCATGCTTCTGTACATGGGGCTCTAGGTGAGTTCAGAGGTGATGTTCAGTGAAATATCGACACCTGAAAGTTTCTGGGCACAGATAATTCTGACAAGAGGAGGAAATATTTCCTGGTGACAGTCCCCGGCATGTTTACCTGCTGCTGGACAGAGCTGAGCTATGCTGCGTTATCGTGACAATCTCTGCCTTGTTGCTACGTATGTTCAACTTTCTACGTAGACACTTGGTCTCCAGGACTGTTAACCTTGTACCTCCTAGACGTGTTCCCTTCTTTCTGTCTCTGTCTATCCCTCTTGCCGTCTCCTTTTCTCAAAAGTAGCAATATTTAAGTGTACTTGCTGAATGCTTAACTTCCAGATAAGTTTTCTTTAAAACACTATGCCATTTACCAATAAAAGAAGGAACAGATCCTAGAGGTTTCTTCACCAGACTTGGACTTCTTGCCAAGCGGCTCCCTAGAACTCTAACATGAATTCAAAGAGGAGAAATCAAGGGGTGGTTTTGCCTGCCTCTCTCGGAAGTCAGCTTGGGGAATGGGGTCGGTTTCGTGTACGTCATTCCCTTCCGAAGCATTCAAGAGATTTCTTCCTGCACTGTGTAGATGAGGCTTAGTCCATGATCCAAACGCGTAGCAGTTTGGGTTGCTCTTTGACTGATGCTTTTTAGCTTAAGAGTTTTACAGACTCACTTAAGGAACTTGAGGGAATCAATACTCAGGAATCCTAAAGCTGGTTGCAGTTGTGTCATTTACTCTTCTGGGCTGAACATACTGTGGTTGTCCTTGCAGGTGGCTCAAGGGAGGAGCAGTTGTGTCATCAGAGAATGGGATGTGGTTCTGCCCAAAGTAATACACACTTGATTCTTTTTTTGATTTTTTTTTTTTAAATATTGGGGGACTGTTTATCAACAAAATTGATGTGTAAAAAAAAATTTGATATTTAAAAAAAAAAGAATAAACACTTTATCATAATGTTGCTTGATTGGTCTGTCTGTATTTCTGAGGTCAGCATCTCTGCATTCAAATCTTTCTCTGGCTTTTTTTCCAAAGCCAGTAGAATTTCCTCAACATGAATGTTGCCGTTTTGAATGTAACGAGTAGAAATCTGTGGCGGGGCCTGAGAACAGGCATGAGAAATTCATGTGTTCCCCTTCTACAGAGATGGGCTGTTGAATCCTTCAGGCAGAACTTGGAAGAGGATTGGAGTACAAGGTAAAATGTAGCCCTTGGCCGCAGCATGGTCTGCTGGAAAAATGAATGAGGTGCTCTTCATGTCTCCTGTGCAAATGCCTCGTTTCCAGCCAGATTAGGGGACAGTTGGTTCTGTTTTCCTGGAGCTGGATGCTCATCTCTTGGGGCATCAAAAAATTGGCATTTATGTCCCTAGAAAACTCATGACTTCTAGTTAGAAGTAACTTTTTTTAAAGTCCCATTCTCCTGGTGTTGTGTTTTGGAAAGAGGGAGTAGTGGATCCTCCTCCTCTGAAACTTGTGGTGCAGTCAGCTAAGCCGAAGCACCAGCATTTGTCTCGTGGCGCAGCAATTCCTTTCTCATATTTTGAAAAACAGATGCAAGCACTGACTTCTTGACCGTTTTAAATCTCGGCTATCCAGAGAGCAGTCAGTGTTAGTACCAGATAAGCAGAGATGCTCAAAAACACGAAGGGTTGCAAATTGGTTGCTGTGACAAAGCAGTTTTTGGACAGTGGCTCCTCACGTGTTCAGAGCTCTACATGTGATGCTGTTGTCACTGTTACAGCTAAGTTCTGTCATTGAGGCAGATATTAATTAGGAAGGCAAAAATATGTTTTTAATTCTGGTCTTGGGGTGGGGAAGGCTTTAATGTGTGGGCTGCTACAGCCCCATTCAACATTTTCATACAGCCAAAATGTTGGTTGCAGTTTCTTCTGCAGGGAGATGATGTAAGGACTAAATGCTCTGACTGTTTGAAAACTATTTTGAGCACTTGGCCTTGTCTGTTCTGCTTTATGAAGCTGGTTTTCTTTTGGTACTGTGTACAAGTACAAATTAACCATGGTTACAGTTGTCTTCACATTTGGGATTGTCCCAGTCTGTCCAAACTGGGCCATTAGCACTTTTAAATCTGCAGCCCCTCGTACGGCCAAGGGCTGTTAAGACCCTATGTAATAAACAAAGCTTACTGCAAGTTGGTGTGCTTTGGTTATCTTTTATGGATGCTTTAGGATTAGGACACACCCCACTCCCCAGAGGTCTGGAGTTTAAAAATTATAGATGAAGGGTTTTTTTGAGTAGTCGTGTGGGTGCAGACGCTGCATTAAGAGTAGGAGCTGGATGCAGAGGGGTGAGGGTTGCATCATAACTGCTTCCTGCTCCAGAATAGTTCAGAGAATGGTCAACAGAAGAAGCATGGCTGAGCCATCACTCATAAATTCTGCAGTGATGCTCACTTAGGTCCACTTCCTTGCTTCTCTGCAGTCTCGTGGCTGGTGTTGCTTTTTGCCAGGTGAATGACTTTTGGGGCAGGTTTGTCACCAGAATGGGATTTGAGAAATCCTGCTGGCCAGCCTAGCTTTTGATTCACTCTGGCCTTACTTTGATTTTTTCCTCAGGGGGTAAACTGGGGGTGAAGGACCCCCCTGGAAGCATACTGTGATGATTGCTCCACTATTACATGCTTGTCTCTGACAACCAAGCTTACTAATTACAAGGTGCTGCCATGATTCCCAACAAAAGCATTGAGTCACGCAGAGAAGGATGCGAGTGGTTGGTGGTTGAAGCCCCTCGCAGCAGCAGCTGCTGAAGGAGCGTCTAGGTTAGAGTCCCTTTGTTAACAAACACTTGTGCCCGGTTGTGGAAGCAGAGGTGTGCTCACAGGGCTGCGTGTTGGTCACGGATGCAGGACTCGCTGTTTACTTATTCCGATAAACCTGCAGTTTCTTCTGTGTTTGTTTTTCTTTTCCCTAATACTAAATTTTTTCTTGCCTACATCTATACTGCTACATCCTGAAACATTTCTTGTGTCTCTTTAATTTCCTTCCGGATCACTGGCAACGTTACTGAAGTGCCCTACGATGGCACTGCATGGTAAGGTACGTATCTGAGGGGGATGGTAGCTTGCACTTAGTGTGCTGTGCTGCGCTGCAGGAGATGAGATACACCACAGTGACTCCGTCCTTCCTTGCTATCCATTTGTGACAAATGCCTGATGGCTCCTCTCGTTGTGGGTAAAGTTTTTTTGCTCTATTTGGGCTGTAAATACTGAGCAAACAGTTAAAAATCTCTTGGGAAGAGGGTAGGAAGCAGATTCCCACGTGGTAGGAGTGGGATGGTTCCTCCTGAGCTTGTCCAGGGAGAATGGGTGCTGTCTTCAAATGCTGGGAGCAGGGAATTTCATATGTAAATCTGTAATTGTGTGGTGGGTGCTTTAAGGGATTACAATCAACTTGTTTTACTTGGAGTAAAACAGAGACTTTGGGGCATTCAAAACATTGTAGAAAACTAGGAGACCAGGAAGTCTGCTGCAGCGTGGGATTATGCAGGTGTATACACTGTGCTGCACCTAGTGCCTTCAGAGCAACAAAGAACGCAAACAGATGCCCTTACCTGCTGCCTGGTGCTGTACAGCTTCTTTTCTTTATACCCAGAGCATGCTCAAAATCCTAAAATTTACCAGTAAAGAATAAAACGGTGCGTTGGATCTGTTTGGCTTCTTTAAAAGGGGCTGAGTTCAGCTTGCTGGTCTCTCCAGGGACTCATTAGGCATCAGGCTTAAATGTTTCATGCTCAGTTGTGTATGTGTTTTAGTGCGGT